TGGGGTTTTGCACAGGAGGAAGCTGTCTCCTGGCACTTGCACTTTACTTTCTCCTCATATGCCACTGGTGCCCTTCCACCTGTTGCCCTGGTGCTGAAGTTTAGAGGGGGTTGGTGTGTGTGAGTCCTGAATCTGTTGCGGGCCCTTTAATAGGCGTCTCTTGAGAACCTCTCAGTTTCTCCCACTGCCCCAACCCACACTGGTTTTTATAGCCAGAAGTTATGGGGCTTATCTTCTGGTGCTGGAACGCTGGACTGGCTGGTGTGGTCTGGGTCCAGGATCCCTCACTCCTGAGGTCTCCCTCCTGATTTTTATCCACCACATAAGATTGTCTCCACGCTTCTCTGTGCCTCTCTACCTCCCTGCGTTTCCACCCCTCCCGCTCACCTGGATGAATGTGGCTTCTTTAAATCCTTGGTTGTCAGACTTCCACATGGCTCAAATAGAAATTCTGGGTGATACTTGTTTTGTAGTCTACTTGTACTTTTTGCTATTGTTGTGCACAGAGGCAAGGCATGTTTACCTGTGCCTCCATCTTGACTGAAATCTCAATTGTTGTAATTTTATAATACATTGAATATTTTTAGGACAAGTTCTCCTTCCTTTATTTTTCTTTACACTCTTCAAAGTTTTCTCACATGACAGTCCCCATATCTTCCTTTGTCATTTGCTTCCAGGAGAGGATGGATGTTGTCAGCACCCAAGAATGATAATGAGGGTCTCCCTCCTGGGTCTTCCTTATCTTACATACCCAGGATGAACGAACTACACTCTCCTGACATGGCCTACTTCTTGCCTTGAGTCCGATTTGTTTTTAATCAGCCAATGAGGCGAAGGGAAGGTGGAAGAGATCTGCCAAGGACAGCAGTTGGGGGGACGGGAAAGAAGACCTTGGGAAATACAGCAGTTAAAGTTATTTAACTTTGACATGTGGCTAAGATGAGCCTAATGAAGTTCATGCTTTACCTTAGAGGGGTAAAGTAGAGTGTTTAAAATCTAAGGTAGGGAAGCCCTTGAGCAGGCGGAGCAGAAAATGGTGTAGAAGTCACATGGTGACTGGATCAACTGGCCGGCAGTGGCACATGGAAAACCCAAGAGAAAGGGCAGCTCCTCCAGGACAGAGCCACCAAGCAGGGGGTGGCTTCCTGCGGGGGCAGCAGGCCACCCTCGCTGGGCTGGGTGACCACTTTCTTCTGCTGCCATCGAGGGTGTGGAGAAACGGAGTGGTTTTAGGAGGTTAACCAAGAGATTGTAGGTGGAGTTAGAGTTGTTAATCTCGGAGAAGAGATTCAACAGAGGAATACTTTTGAAAGGGCCCGAGGAGCGTACACAGACAGAAAGGGTGAGCAGTTAATCTTCCTCTGGGCAGAAAACAGGGAACACATGATGAAAACCACTTTACTGTGACAACAAAACGAACAAAACACCACAAAGGAAAGGGCATTTCAGCGACAGCATGGAGGGTCGGGGGCAGCAGTACTCAGAGTGGAAGGAGCACATTCCTGTTGGGCACGGGGTAGGGGCTTTTCAAACCCCCTTCCCCTCTCTCCATCCTCACCGCAGGACCCTGGTGTCGCTCCTACTCAGATGTGTCCTTCCGGACTCTTTGTGCACACCTGTTGGAAATGGCAGAGACCTTCAGCACCTTTGTGTGAGGCCTTGACCGTAAGCAAGGGACGTTCCAGGTCCTCCTGGGGTCCCTGCCAGTCCCATAGGTTTAATACATAATCTGTGCGACTATACCTGGGTGACTTTGGAAGAAATTCCAGATTTAGTGCTGTTTAACAAAAGCTATGGGGGGCTCTTCCTCTCCCTCGTTGTCTTAGACACCCGCAGTGCTCGGTGGTTTGCTCCGGGCCCTCAGCTTTTCTCAGAGGCATTTTACGTGGTCCCCCAGTGACCATAGCCTCTTCTCCTGGTGACCGACTGCACATCAACCCACAGTGTGCTCCTAAGCTCCGGACCTGTATTTCTACACTTGGTCTTGGCCAAGAGGCTGAGAGGCGTTCGCATGTATTGTGTTGGCCAAAAAGTTCATTTGTATTTTTTCCCCATAAGATGGCTCTAGTAACACTTAACCGTTTCTAACTTCATTGGAAACAAGTTTGTTGGATTGTATTGTGATAGCTGTCATATCAGCATGTATTTAAAAGATCACAATTGGTGGATTTTTGTGCAGCCATTTTAATATTGAACATGGAAGAAAATACACAGTATTTTCAGCATGTTATGCTTTACTATTTCAAGAAAGGTTACACATCTAGTACATTTGGTTAGTGCTCAAGACATCTAAGGTGTGTTACTCACAAGGTAGAATGGCAGCTGGTGAATGAATATAGCTTCCAGTTAGAAGTTAAATGCCGGTGTCAGACAAATTGTATAATCTTTTACCAGTGGAAAAGCTATTTGGGGAATCTGATTGCTGCAGGAAGCAAAAGGACAGAGAGCTGTGCGATTATAAGGATCTAGAAATCTAATGTGCTGACTGGTCTTCCACACCACATAGGTACCTATCCACCAAGTAAATGATAATACCCCCAGTATCCACCCCCTATCAGTGCTGGGGTGTCACTTCTTTTATTCTGGTAAAATGTATGTAACATCAAATGCACCATTTTGGAGTCTTCTGGTCCAGATGGAGGTATAGGTAAACACACTTTGCCTCCTTGCACAACTACAGCAAAAATTACTAGACTACAAAACTAGTATTGCCCCGGTTCATCAGAAAATTGAGCTGCGTGGACATCTGGCAACCAAGGATTTAAAGAGGCCACTTTCATCCAGATGGGAAGGAGGGGCAGACTCTCAGAGAGGTAGACAGGTGCAGAGAGGAGTGCAGAGAGGAGTGGTGTGGAGAGGGGGTAGAACAGGCAGTCCCACATTCATGTGTGATGGATAAAAATCAGGACTTGGATCACTTGCTCCCAAGGTATCCCTCCTGATTTTTAGCCACCACGTGGGAATGTGGGACCACCCATGCCTGTTCTACTGCTACCGCTGCCTCTCTGCACCACAACACAACCCCCTGCCTCTCTGCCCTGTCTCTGCATCTCCACTCCTCCTACCTATCCGCATGAATGTGGCTTCTTTATATCCTTGGTTGTCAGACTTCATACAGTTCAATTTTCTGACAGTTCTGGGCATTACCTGTTTTGAGATTTAGTTGTAATTCCTTTTTGTGATTGTGCAATGAGGTGAAGCATGTCTCCTTATGCCCCGTCTTGACTAGTGTGCACAGTGCCACAAAGCTCTGTGAAGCAGGTTGCCCCACTTGGGCAATTACGTAAGGCTCTGCCCAAGACAATTTTACAGCGAGTCAAAGCAGCTGTACCTAATACACAGAAACAAACACAGGGAGGCTACCAAACTGATGAAACAAAAATATGCCCCAAATGAAAGAACAGAAAACCCAAGAAAAAGAACTAAATGAAACAGATAGCCAACCTATCAGATGCAGAGTTCAAAACACTGGCGATCAGGATGCTCAAAGAACTCACTGAGCATGGCAACAACATAAAGAAAGAAATAAAGTTTATACTAAGTGAAATAAAGAAAAATCTACAGAGAACCAACAGTGAAGAGAAGGAAGCCAGCATTGAAATCAATGATTTGGAACACGAGAAAGAATTAAACATTCAACCAGAACAGAAAAAAGAAACAAGAATTAAAAAAAAAAAAAGAATAGTATAAGAAGAATCTGGGACATCTCCAAATATGCCAACATCCAGATCATAGGGATGCTACAAGGATAAGAGGAAGAGCAAGAAATGGAAAACTTATTTGAAAAAATAATGAAAGAAAACGTCCCTAATTTGATGAAGGAAATAGACATTCAAGTCCAGGAAACGAAGAGATTCCCAAACAAGATGGACCCAAAGAGGACCACACCAATTCATATCATCATGAAAACGCCAAAGGAAAAAGAGATCTTAAAAGCAACAAGAGAAAAGCAGAGCATTATCTACAAAGTAGTTGCCATAAGACTGTCAGCTGATTTCTCAAAAGAAACTTTGCAGGCTAAAAGGGACTGGCAAGAAGTAAAGCATAGATTACTGTATCCAGCAAAGCTACCATTTAGAATTGAAGAGCAGGTAAAGTGTTTCCCAGATAAGGTAAAACTAAAGGAGTTCATCATCACCAAGCCATTATTATATGAAATGCTAACGGGCATTCTAAATGAAAAAGAAGAAGATCAAAACTATGAATATGAAAATGGCAACAAATTCACAACTATCAACAACTGAATTTAAAAAAACAAACTAAGCAAACAAGCAGAATAGGAACAGAAACACAGAATTGGAGATCATGTGGATGGTTATCAGCTGGGAAGGGGAATGGGGAGAATGGGGAAAAAGGTGCAGGATTAAGAAGTACAAATTGGTAGGTACAAAATAGACAGGGGGATGTTAAGAACAGTATAGGAAATGGAGACACCAAAGAACTTATATATGCATGACCCATGGACATGAACTAAGGGGGAGAGGATTGCTGGCGGGAATGTGGGCACTGGGTGGAGGAGGGCAAAGGGGAAAATTTGGGACAACTGTAATAGCATCTTTAATAAAATGTATTTTTTGAAAAGGCACCATTTCAACTATTTTTCAGCACATGACCTATTGGCATTAAGTACATTTACAGTGTTATCACCATTATCTATTTCTAAGATGTTTTTACCACCCCAAACAGAATCTCTGCCATCCATTAAGCAATAATTCCACATCCCCTACCCAGCCCCTCAATCCTTGGCAACCTCCAACCTATTTAGGTGTCTATGAATTTGCCTATTATAGATATTTCATAAAAGTGGAATCATACAGTATTTCTCCTTTTGCATCTGGCTTATTTCACTCAACATCATGTTTTTAAGACCTGTACTGTGTATCAGAATATGCTCATCACTTCTTACATTAAAACTTTCCTTTTGATGGCCCCACAAGGATCACCTTCTTTGTGCTTTTACTTATCCTATCATGCTCTTTTCTCCTTTTCCATGTTTTCAGAGCCTCCCCTTCCGGAAGTTGATTTTTTCACTGTACATGGAGGGCCCCTCCCACGCCTGAAATTGAGGAAGGCCAAGGAGAGCAATGGGCCTATCAGGTCAGTAGCCACCCCTTTTCCACGGTTGCCCAAGAATCCTCGTGGAGTGTTTTGGAATCTTTGGGTGGTAGCACTTGAATAGTTGGGCACAGACACAACCCTTAATTTCAACCAGCACCTTTCTGAACAAGGGGAGAGACTTCTAAAGGACCAGAGACCAGCATTTGGGCGGCTTTAGCTCTAGAACTCAAATCCTGGTCTTTGCTCATTGGCGTCTGTGACGTGCCAGACGTTATCCTTCACGCTCCCGTCTCCACGTGTATCTGGTAGTGACGGTGGGTCCGGAGCATCATCCCATTTCCCCAGAACAGAGTACATTTTCCTTTGTTTACAGACAGGTGGCTTCTGAAATGGCCATTTGGATAATTCTCCTACTTCATTCACATATTGAGTTATGGGCAAAATCCCACATCGTTAACCACTGCTTCTGGGATCCCAGACAGTAGCAGGATAGCAGGATGGGGGGTAGTAGTTTGGGGGATGACGCCGTGTTCAATTAAGCACTTTATTTACAAGGGTCATGATGGAATTACAAAAGCAGAATTATTCCCTTTTTTAGAGAGGTTTGCCTGTAGGGGTGAGCAGCTTGCTGACTGGAGTAAGTCAAGGAGGTAACAGTGACCTTGCCACCTTTGGCTAACTGCTGTTGCCTCATTTCTCTTTACCCCATCAGTCTGACGACCCTTCAGTGCAGTCAAGGTAGAACCGCGTGTGAGATGTTGTATAAAGAACATCTGAAGATATTGTCTGTGTGTCCGTTTATAATGAAACTTAGGGTTTTTTGGGGGGGGTTTCTTGGTCTTTCCATTAATTTAAGTTCAGTAAATTCACAAAGGCCTTTCCAGGAATGGATATTGCCTAAATTGTTGTGTCTTGACTCCTAAGTGCCTGGAATGCATTGCGATTCTATCGCTATAAAGAGAACAGAAGTTGTGATATCACTTCCTGAGAGGATTTGCAAGAGCACACATGGTACTTGGGCCAAATAATGACCTAAGGCAAAAAGAAAAGCCAAATGACAGTCAGCCCTTGGGGCTTATGCAGACCTGAGCCTCCAAAACAGGAAGTGGAGATCTGTGAGTCATTCAAGGCTGGTGGTGAGAAAGAGGGGAAAAGTCCTTCTAGAACATCCATGTTTCCAACAGCCGGGACTGCTTCTCTAAAACATCATCAGGGCTAATTACCAGCAGGCAGGTGGGGTGGTTTCCTCGGCCTGTCTACTGTATCTGATTTGAACTGGGGGTAGCTGCGTGGCCAGTGTGTGAGGCAGGCATGAGTCTGCTTTGTGCATTATTGATAAAGGGCAGTGGCCTGGGGCACTCGGTGAAGCAGGGGCTCTGGACCAAGGCTTTTGTCCTTCGCTTGGTGAACTTGGGTGGATGAGGGCCTGTTCCTGGGCTCTCTCAATGATGGTGTCTCCCACACTTGCGAGATGACAGGAATCACCTGGGCTGCTTTATCAGCAAAACAAAATCTCAGAGTTCACTCTGGGAGATTTGGATTCAGTGGGTCTGGGATGGAGGCTGGAAATCTGTATAATTATCCAACAGCTCAGGTGATTATCACACTAACTGGGGAGACTGCTTTCTGCTGAGTGAATAGTGCCTTTCGTGAGTGACATATAGAGTCAAATAGTTCAGGTGAGCTTTGGCTTTGCACTTGAACACCACCACGTACCTGAAAAGATGAGAGGGGTTGGAAGATATTCTCATGGACAGGACGGAGCTGCGGCAACATTTACTTTCTTCCCCACAGCCATGAATCATAGGGACATCTCTGAGTCCCCAGGAAAGTATGGGGTTATAGGTCATCCCTTGTAGGCAGTGGGTGCTTAGTAAATGTTTACTGGTGATGGCAGTGACAACTCGTTGTCCTGCAGGCTTTACTTTGTCCCTTTCCTAGAAAACCTTTGCGGAAAGTGAACCCAGACTTTGTGGAAAACAGGGCCCCAAGGACACCTATGATGCTCAGAATGGAGACTTTCCGAGGCCAACACACGCTGCGGGGGAGGGTTCCCTGTGCCTAACCCAGCGACTCGTGCGCCTTTAGCAAACATTAGGTATGAGGAACAGGAAGGGTCTGTTTGCTGGTAAAACAGAATTATGTGGCCGAATGAACTTTGGAAATCCCCCTCATCCTACCTTGTATTTCTCCTCTTTGCTGAAATTTTAACTCAGGAAACATTAGTGGGGAGTCGGTCACAGCCAAAGGCCTGTGTGAGGACTTGCAAAGGTATGGGAGTGAATCACTCAGATTCCTGCTATCAAGCCCGATTGAGAAAGCAGATGTTCAAACGATGACTGTACCAGAGGCAGGAGCTGTGTCCTGAGTAGATGGTGATTAAAAGGAAGGCCTGGTTCATGCTAGATAAAAGTGAAATTTTATTCTTCGGCTTCCTCTTGCTGACAGGTTTTCTGTTTGGTGGGGTAAATAAGAAAACACATGACAAAATGACACCCGATTGCCAATGTGTGTCTGTGTCCACAGTTAGGGAACAGTTTCACAATATACATGTGACATTTTGCCCTTCTGGCTATTTCAGAATGTCGTCAGAATGGATTAACCTGTGGTGACCCTGCACTCCTTTGCTTCTCATTGATCTCACATGAACTTCAGTATCGCTCTGTGAACTGCGGGGAATGTTAATCACATGAGTTCCATGTTAGGCTACCATGTGATCTCCTGGAGCCTTTCTGCAGGCTTAGTACAGTAACTCTGGTGGGCAGCCAGCCTCCATGTGACTGCTAAACCCTTTCCACAGCTGGGCTTTATTTGCCCACCTGAAAACCACCGATGAGACCAACATTATGGCATGCATGCATGCCCAGGGCAGACAGCGACGTGTGCGACAACTTCTCTCAGCTAAAGAGGATGTCCTTGGCACCAGCAGCCAGAACTCAAAGACGTCCCTCCCCCGGTCATCTGGCAATAACACTGTAGGTTTAAAACTGGAGTTCCTTGACTGCTGGAGCTGTCAGACTAAATCCCACGTGGGCAAGGGCTTTTTTTTTTTTTTGGTCCAGTGTTGTATCTCCAGTGCTTAGAAAAGTGCTCATCGCATTGTAGCCACTCAATAAATATGAGTAAGTGAATGCATGAGTCCCACATGCAAGAGTCTGATAGACATTTTCTTTTTCCTTCCAGTTCCTATCAGGTGTTAGTGGTTCCCCTGGCTCTCCAAAGCACGTTTTCCTGTGATTCTGAAGGGGCTGCCTCGTTCTTTAGCAATGCTTCTGATGCCAATGGATACGTGGCTGCAGAACTACTGGCCGGAGCTGTTCCAAAGGAGACCATGGAGATATCTGTTGGAGACAGGCTGTATTATGGGAAATATTATAATGCACCCTTGAAAAAAGGGAATGATTATTGCATTATATTACGAATCATAAGCGAATGGAACAAGGTACATTTCTTTGAAAGCTCTTATGAACTCTCTGTTTTCTTATTCACATGAAATTTGAACATTTGAATATTTGTTTTTCCATCATTCGAGGTGGACACTGCACACAATAACCGTAGGAATGTGCTGAATCCTTTGCCTTTATAAAGGATGGGCAGGTGACACCTTTCTGGAGGGTGATGTCTGACCTTCCTGGGGGACCGGGCTGGACCTGCGCTGGGACTGACCTGGTTTGGGTTCTTCCTCTTGAGCTTCACAGATGCCCTCATTCTAGTGCATTCTGCTGAAACCCAAGTTGGAGAGGAATCTCTAGATCTCTCTGTCACTTCCCTGTCCTCTAGCCAGGCTGCTGCCTCCCCTCATTCTCCTGAAAACAGGGGAGAGGGGCAGAATCAGCTCAGTCCTGCCCGAGTTTCCATCACTTCCATGGTTACTGGATAGGCCTCCTCTTCCCTGTCCTTAGCAGGGCTGTGTTCTTCCAGCAGTTTCCTTTCAGGAAACATAGAACCTAATACTTACCACATAATAAATAAATATAATGAACTGGACAAGCAGATTAGCAAAAGCTCGATCAGTCAGTCAGAGATGGAAGGTCTTCTGGAATAAACATTGTGCTAGTTTTCCTAGGAGAACGCCATAAGTTTTGTGGAAATTCATGTGGACTGGTCATTGAAACTGGAAAGAGTGTATTAAACAAAATAAAAGTGTCTCTTGACTGATGAATTCGAGCCATTTCGAGTATAAGGTTCATCACATATTTGAAACTGAGACACTCCATTAAATTCTGTATAGGACACAAGTCTAATGTGCCATTATCATGTTGGATGTTAAACTAATGTTTACTTTTAAGAATATGTCCAAATAGCAAAGAGTTCTGTCTGGTAGTGTTTTGTGGCAGTAATATAGGAATTAAGAATTAGAAGGGTGAAGCCCAGAATATATTGCCCTGAACTTGTTCAAAAGGTGTTTATGACTGAGACAAGGGCTTCTTGCTGGAGAACGACCTGGAGGTCCTGGATGGCATAGACACAGTGCTGGAGGTACAGTCTGAGTACCGTCTAGGGGTGGTCAGAGAGCTGCCATCGCAGGTTGGGACTTTGGTCTGGAAGAGTCTCAGACTGGGTGTGGCTGCCATTAGACAATACCATAAACTGGTGACTTCAACAACAGACACACATTTCTCATGGTTCTGGAGACTGGGAAGTCCAAGAGGAAGGTGAAGGCCACTTCAGTTCCCTGATGAGGGCTCTCTTCCAGTGTTGCAGACAGCTGTCGTCTTGCTGTATCCTCCTGTGATGGAGAGTGAGTGAGCTCTGGTGGCTTCCTCATCTTAGGTGGATGCTAATCCCATCATGGGGCCCCCCCATTCATGCCCTCACCTAAATTTAATTATCTCTCAAGGCCCTGCCTCTAAATATCATCATATTTGGGTTAGGGCTCCACCTATGAATTTTGGGAGGCATTAAACATTCAGTCTATGACAGAGGGAATAAAACGTGAGGTTGTGGTAAAAATTCTAACATTTGGGAAACTTTCCTGTGACGTCATTGTTACCTCTTTTTCATACAGCTGAGTAGAGCATCTGCTTGTCCTTCAGGATGCCAAAGGAGACGGAGGGGCTTTGAAAAAAATTTTTATGTGGACTTGTGTGCTTGAATTACAATTAGTTCCCTCCCGGGTTTCAGATACATTTGTGTTACAGTCATCTTAAAATCAGTAGTGATTTATTTATTTTTTTTAAATGGCATTATTGAGATACGATTCACACACCATGTAAGTTACCCATTTAAAGCGTGCAATTCTATGGCTTTGTAGTGTGTTCACAAGGTTGTGCAACCATTACACCCATCTAATTCCAGAACGTTGTAGTAGTGATTTATTTTTAATTGTGGTAAAATACACATAACATAAAATTTACCATTTTAATCATGTTAAGTATACAGTTCAGTAGTATTAAGTACATTTACATTGCTATGCAACCAATCGCTAGAACTCTCTTCATCTTGCGAAACTCTCTAGCCATTAAACAACCCCATCCCCCAACAACGCCCTACCCTTCTATTTCCTGTCTCTATGACCTTGCCCTCTCCAGGTACCTCATATAAGTGGAATCCTACAGTATTTGTCTGCTTGTGTGACTGTCGTATTTCACTTAACATAATGTCTTCAGGGTTCATCCATGGTGTGCATGTGTCAGAATTTCCTTCCATTTTAAGGCTGAAAATATGTCATTGGATGAGAATACCACACCTTGCTTACTACCTCATCTGTAGATAGACACTTGGGTTCCTTCCATTTACTGGCTGTTATGAATAACGCTGCCATGAACATGGGCATGAGAATATATCTTTGAGTCCCTGCTTTCAGAACACTTTGGTATATACCCAGAAGTGGAATTTTCGCATTATATGGTAATTCCTTTTTAATTTTTTTTTTTGAGGCGCTGTCATGCTGTTTTCCATAGCGGCTGCATCCTTTTACATCCCCCCCAAGGGTTTGCACGCTGTCATTTTCTGCCTGTCCTCTCCCTACACTTGCTGTTTGCGGTTGCTAATGGCCGTCCTAATGGATGCGAGGTGCTGTCTCATTGTGGTTTGGGTTTGCGTTTCCCTGACGATGAGTGATGTTAAGTGTCTTTTCATATGCTTTTGACAATTTGTATATCTTCTTTGGAAAAGTGGTTAAGTCCTTTCTCCATTTTTAATTAAATTATTTCTTCATGGAGTTTTAGGAGCTCTGTATATTCTGGATATTAATCCCTTATGAGATAAATGATTTGAAAATATTTTTGTTCTATCTGTAGGTTGAGTTTTTAATCTTTTGATACTGTCTTTTGAGGTACAGAAATTTTTGATTTTTATGAAGGGCAATATTTTTTTTTGTGTGGTCCATGCCTTCAGTATCATGTCCAAGAAATCACTGCCCAATCCAATTTCATGAAGCTTTTCGTCTATGTTTTCTTCCCCCGAAACCACAATGTTTTGATTACTGTAGCTTTGTAAGATTTGAAATCAGGAAGTGCGAGTTTTCCAAGTCCTTCATGCCCCACCTTTGTGCATCTGTCCCAATGAATAGTATTACCATGCTCCCAGTTGCTAAGACAGAAATGTGAGAATAATTGTCTTCTCCCTTTTTCTTATCTTCTTATCCAGTCCATCATCATATTATGCCAATTCTATCACCTTAATGCTCTTTAAAATCACTTCCCTTTCTTCATTAGCATTGTTTAGCCTTCAACATCTCTTGTCTGAGTGTCAGTTTTCTAACTCATCTTCCTGTCTCTTGTTCTGCCTATCACCTTTCTCCTACTATGGCCAGAATGGGTTTTATAAAATACAAGTCTCATCAAGGCACTTCATTTTAATGAGCTCCCTTCTTCACCTGTCCCTGCCAGTTTCTCTCTTTTAATACACGCTGTTCCCTAGTAACTGCCTTGCTGGGTGTGGCCTTTTTTCCTTCTCCATTGTCTTGCAATACATCCTTCACTGGTTACTCTTACATATTACCTTTTATCAGATGGACTTGATGCCCTTAGCATCAGGCAAAATTTCGTCACCGTCAAAACCTTATAGGCATTTTAAACTTTCCCCAGAATTTTTCAGTGCAAATATTTTGTGTCATTTTTTAAAATAAAGTAAAAATGCCCAAGGTTGTCACTTGAAAGAGGATCTCATTTGAAGTTGGAAAATCTTCCTCTAATCCCTGCTATTCAGTTTCCTCTGAGGAATATTTTGCTGCATTTTATCATAGACAGTAATCTCAGCTTTCCTAACCAACAAGTATGCATAAAATAACAGCAGTGGGGGAGGAGAAGAGAAGGCATTCCATTCCCGTGAGTCCGTGAGTCTCTCCGACCACAGATGAGCTTTCATACATGTTCTTTTTGCTTTCTTCCTGGCTCTTGGCTACATTTTTTGTAAACGTGGTAACCAGATAAATATTACCTAGATAGATGAAGTATTAATCTATGTCCGTAGTTCTCATTAACCTTGTCTATCACATGCATCAAAGCTTCCTGCTGAACCTGGATGGGTCCTCAGAATCTTTTTCAGCATCATTCTCCAGGCGGTCGATGCTAGATGCTCAGAGCTGTGTGTTGGTGCCCCGCAGCACATGCGGATTCCTGAGGTCCGTGGAAACCTGTGGAAGTGCGCCCTGGGGTCACTTGCCAGTCCACTGGCCACTTGGTGATCATATGACTAGGTTGTAATATGTTGGAGCTAGACGAGACGATGAGATGTTGTGGTCCAAATTAAGGGCTAAAACCCTGAAACTTGGAGGGCTGAAGCGCGCTATTTCAGCTGGCAGCATGTGTCATCTAGTTAAACACGTTGCTGTGTTTTTCTTTGTAGGTGAGAAGATGCTCCTGTGCAGTTTGGGCTCAGGTGAAAGGTAAAACCATTTTTTTTTTGCCTCAAGTGCTATTCTCATTTCTATGTCCAATCTGCAGCATCAAGTTATGTCCGTGAGATTTCTTCTGAGATTATCACAGGTGACAGAAACCCATCTCCTATTAGCTTAAGCAAAGCCATAGTTGAAAAGCATGGGGTTGGGGGCTGGGAGCTTATGGAGTCCCTACCAGAGCAGCATTCCCAGGGCCCCAGGGACTGGGACTTTGGACTTGATGCCATGAGTGGGGTTCTCCCTCTCTGTCTCTTATCTCTGCTCTGCTTCTAAGTGTGAGTTGGCCTCATTTTCTTTGATGATAAGCCGTATCATGGGGAGGGAGGTGTACCAGCTGCCCCAGCATAGCAACCTGAGTGGGAACAGAAAGTTTTTTGATTCAGGGCAAGAGTCTTTTCTCTTAGGTTCTGTGACTATCTGTTGGACGCATCACTGTTAATAGGAGATGGGGTGCTGTGATCTACTCCCCTTGGGTCTGGGGCTTATTCATATGGCCAGTTGGAGGCAGGCCAATGTGACCGACAGCCCCACCAGGGTCTCAGTGAGTGGGGGACATGATCCCCATCAGGAGAAGAGGACAGAAAGACATGGTGGCAGGCTGAAACAAAGGGCTGCAACATTCCCCTACTTTCCACCATTTGGCTGCTTAGCGTGTACACACACATACATATATACTATTAAGAAAGATACCCTCCAGTAAGAAAATGGAATTGCCCTCCATATAACCAAAAACAGAACCCTGGTGGAAGATAACTCAAAGATGAGTCTGTTACTACACCTAGTTCCAAACCAAGACTCCTGGGCATAGTCCGTTCCTCTTGATTTAATCCACATGTGCTTTTCATGATCTGTTGAGTAATCCATGACTAAGTGGCAACTTCAGCCATTCTCAATCCACAGTACGTAATCTGAAGAGAAAGACACTAAATGCTCTCACTTAGAAAGGAGGAAGAGCCCTGGCCGGTGTAGCTCAGTGGATTGTGCGCAGGCCTGCGAATCAAAGGGTTGAAGTTCGATTCCCAGTCAGTGCCTGGGCACATGCCTGGGTTGTGGACCAGTTCCCAGCAGGGGACGCAGGAGAGGCAACCATACATTGATATTTCTCTCCCTCTCTCCTTCCCTTCCGCTCTAAAGATAAATACATCATAATTAACAGGGAGATAAAATATGGTGCACTGGTCAGGGGGCCCGTAACAATGACCACAATGCACATCGACAAGAAGAGCAAGCCTCCCTTCCCTGGCAGAATGGGCCCCTTGGCCAGTCAGCTGGGCTGCCTCGGTCCTTCTGCCCCAGCGGAGAGTCCCCTTGTCCATTTCCCCCAAAGCCACACCTGGGCCGGGAGGAGTCGGGAGGAGCTCTGTGAGGGCTGTACAGTTTAAACCTGCTCCCCGCCCGCAGCTCTCCCTGCAGGGGAATTGCCTTGGGGACTGAGCAATGCCCTTCCTCGGTTTCCAGCCTGGGATTTCCCTAGCGGTGCCTTTCTTTCTTTAAACCAAAAGGCAGCCAGCCAGCGGATTTGATTCCCAGAATTCTATTAGTTTGTAGCTAATACCAGAAATCTTGTCAAGTTTATGACCTTTGAATCTGAACCTTTTCCTTGTGGTTTATGAGTCCCAGCGACAGGCTGAGGAATTCTGCCCTTAGCTCGCAGGCTCAGTTTAACCCCTTACATTCCTTCCCTTACTCAGAGCAGCATAAAACAGCAGGCTGGAGGGGTGAGGAAGACGAGATACAACTTGGCTTCCAGGAGGATTCCAGCAAATGGCCTGTTACGATGGGGGATTCCTTACCCTTTGAGTGCAGGGTGCTTAGCAGGAAATGTTTGAGAGGGACCTGGGGGATTAGGCTTCTTTCTTTTGTCTGCTTATGCCCTGAACCTATTTCACCTCTTTTTATCTCTATTCACTCCAATTTCATCAAGGGTGGAGGACTTGATTTTTCAGCTGGGAAGGCATGTTACCTGACCACCAGCATCTTTGATGACATATTGTTAGGCCACCAGGGCTTCTCTCCTCTCTCATATCTCCAACTCCACTGACATAGAACTGGCATATAATTAGCGTGGCATTGTATATGTTTAAGATGTACAGTGTGGTCATTTGGTATCCATGTATATTGTGAAATGATTATCCCAATAAGGTTACTTAACACCATCAACATCTCATTATATATATTTATGTGCGTGTGTATGTGTGTGTGAGAGAGAGAACATTTAAGATCCACTCTCCTACCAACCTTCCAGTTTATAATACAGGATTGTTAACGATAGTCACTAGATCCTCAGAACGTATTCATCTTATAATAGGAAGTTTGTCCTCTTATATCAGCATCTCTCCATTTCCCTGACCCCTTAGCCCCTAGCAACTACCATTCTATTCTCTATTTTGATGAGTTCACCTTTGTTGGATTCCGCATATAAGTGAGGTCATATAGTATTTTTCTTTCTTTGTCTGACTTATTCACTTAGCATAGTATGTGAACACCTCTCCTAACAAAGATGTGTGCTATTTCCTTTCCATGTGCAGACAGGCTAAGCGCCCTTGCTTGGGTTTAACAAGGGCATAAGAAACAAGCATACATATCAGCATTGGGACATTTTTCTGCCAGTCTGTTTCCTAAAGCTCAAAGGGTGAGAATGGAGTTGCCACAAAGAAAAGAGTTGCTTGTTCAGAAGAATGGGGCTGCTCAAGTGTCCCGAGCAGACACAGAAACAATCGCTTCCAGATTTCACTGCTTTCTGCAGCAGTTTGGCGTGATTGACAGACACTCGAACTGGACAGAAGTGGCCAAAGAGCTGGCTGCATTCTACTGTGATTAAGTTAAACAGGAAGGATTTTGCCTTGGAAATATCTAAGTGTCTTTTCCTCCAAATTAAGAACTAACATTGAGAGCAAGTTTGAGCCCTTGAATTCAAACTCCTGGAACAGAAGTGGAGGTAACAGAACACCCACAGTTATGTCAGGATTCTGAAGAAAATTCTAGCATGTATTTTCCGGTGTACATTATTAACCTGGGCTGTGTACTAACCTCTGGCAGTTTCTTCTGTGAATAAGAGAAATCGTTCCATTCCACTCGTGCCAAGCAACAGCCCCATTCTTGACCTTGCCCCGTCATGAATCATGGTGTTTACCTTTTGCAAAGTGACCCTAAACAAGCTTTGTGATGATTACCAGGGAAACAGCAGTTGGTTTGATGGGAAACGCAAAGGCCTGGGCTCTCTTGCCCCAGATCTGCTACTAATCAGCCGAATGTCTTTGAAATTATATTTAACTTGGCTGATTCTCAATGCCCTTTCCTGAGATCCCTGAGATCCCTTCCAGCCACAAAGTGCTATGAGTCTGTGATTTCTTGAGTCACAAAGGGAGGTCATTTGATATGTGTGAAATGATAATAAGCTATAATCAGGGAACATTCTTCAGCTGTAGGCAGAAACCTCTGAGTCAGTGACCACTTTTTCTCTTTCAGCCCACATTTTACGCGTTGGGCATGCCTCTCTGATTTTAGTATTTCCTGTCACCATTTTCCACAATTCTGCATTATTTTTTAACCCTGTTTCCGAGGCCTCAGTTTGACACCAATGTACCTTTCTTATTGCACTTCTCATTCTTCTCCGTGCAAACTTGAACACCAGCTCTTTGCTGGATACAGCCTCTGCCTTTTCTCCTTAATGTCTTTGCTCATACGATTACATGCTTACTTCCACCTGCACCGCCCTATGCTTTATTGAAATCTCACCTGTTCTTCAAGATTAAGTGCCTTCTTCTTCCTGAAGCTTTTCTTTTTTCTTTGTGGATAACATTTTATTTTTAAAAGTATATTTTATTGATTATGCTATTACAGTTGTCCTAATTTTTCTCCCCTTTATCTCTCTCCTCCCTGCACCCCCACCCCACCCTCCAGCATTCCCCACCCACCTCAGTTCATGTCCATGGGTCATACATATAACTTCTTTGGCTTCTCCATTTCCTATACTATTTGTAACCTCCCCTCTGTCTATTTTGTACCTACCAATTATAATTCTTATTCCCTGTACCTTTTCCACCCATTCTCCCCTCACCCCCGTATACTGATAACCGTCCATGTGATCTCCATTTCTATGATTCTGTTCCTGTTCTAGTTGTTTGCTTAGCTTGTTTTTTTTATGTTTGGTTGTTGAGAGTTGTGAGTTTGTTGTCATTTTACTATTCATATTTTTGATCTCTTATTTCTTAGATAAGTCCCTTTAACATTTCATATAATAAGGGCTTGGTGATGATGAACTCCTTTATTTTGAGCTTATCTGGGAAGCACTTTATCTGCCCTTCCATTCTAAATGAAAGCTTTGCTGGATAGAGCAATAGTGGATGTAGGTCCTTGCTTTTCATGACTTTGAATACTTCTTTCCAGATCCTTCTTGCCTACAAGGTTTAAGAAATCAGCTGATAGTCTTATGGAAACTCCTTTGTAGGTAACTGTCTCCTTTTCTCTTGCTGCTTTTAAGATTGTCTCTTTATCTGTAATCATTTTTTTTAATGAACATGCTTTTTTTTCAAAGATTTTATTTATTTATCTTTAGAGAGGAAGGGAAGGAGAGAAGGAGAGAAACATCAATGTGTGGTTGCCTCTCGTGAGTCCCCTGCCAGGCACTGGCCTGCAACCCAGGCATGTGCCTGACTGGGAATCAAACCACAATCGTGTGGTTCGCAGGCCTGCGCTCAATCCACTGAGCTATGCCAGCCAGGGCTCCTTATCTGTAATCTTGGGCATTTAATTATGATATGTCTTGGTGTGACCTCCTTGAGTCTAACTTCTTTGGGACTCTGTGCTTCCTGGCTTCCATGTCTATTTCTTTCACCAGATTGGGGAAGTTCTCCATTATTTTTTCAAATAAGTTTTCAATTTCTTGCTCTTTTTCTTCTTCTGACACCACTGTGTTTCAGATGTTGGAATGTTTCAAGCTGTCCCTGAGGTTCCTAAGCCTCTCCTCATTTTTTTTTGAATTCTTATTTCTTCATTCTCTTCTGGTTGAATGTTTATCTCTTCCTTTTGTTCCAAATTGTTGATTTGAGTCCTGGTTTCCTTTCCTTCACTGTTGGTTCCCTATGTATTTTCCTTTATCTCACTTTGTATAGCCTCAATTTCTTCCTTTATTTTGCGAACTAATTCAATCACTTTTTTTGAGCATCCGATGACCAGTGTTTTGAACTCTGGATCCTATAGGTTGTCCATCTCTTCATTGCTTAGTTCTTTTTCTGGAGTTTTGATCTATTCTTTCATTTGGACCATCTCTCTTTGTCTGGGCACACCTGTTACATTATAAGGGGTGGAGCCTGAGGTATTCAGGGCCGGGGACCCACGTCACTACGTTGTGGCGCCGTGTCGGGGGGAGGGGTCCAAGAGGGAACAAAGCTGCTTGTTCTGCTCTCGTCCCACATTCCGCCACTTCCCTTGCTTACCACAAGCAGATTGTGTCCTTTCAGGTGCTGATTCCCAGGTAAGAGGGTTTGTGTATGATCTAGGACTCTGTGTGTCTCTCGAATGGACGCTTTTATGAGACTGGGAGTCTCTCCTACCAGTGCAATTTCCACAGGTTTTTATACTCAGAGGTTTTGAGTCTTTAATTTTCTCTGCTGAAACCCTGGGTTTTGCGGTCTGTCTCACTCCCCAGTTGTTCTTCCTCGCTTATCCCCAGGCAAATGTTGGACCACTGGGGTCCGCCGACCCCTGCCTGGCCCACGTGGTCTGCCGCCTTGCCGCGTGTGCTCTCCTCCGCGCGGCTGCGGGTCTCTGCTCCTTCTACCAGCCTGGATTAATGTTTAACTTCTTGGTTGTGGGGCTTCCATGCAGTTTGATTTTCTGGCCATGCTGGTTGGTTTTTTGTTTTTAAATTGGTTGTTATCCTTTCAGTTGTGCAAGGAAGTGAAACACTTCTACCTATCACTCCATCTTGGCCAGAGCTCTCACCCCTTTATCCTGAAGCTTTTAAATTTGCTCCACGGACAGGATTTCTATCTCTTCTCTTTAGCCATTCTGCCACACTTTAGAGCAACTAGTCCACTTGTCTTTTCTTAGGGAATCTCAGTCCTACAATGGCAAGGAACTGACTTCAGCCCATAACCTGAAGGAGCTGGGAAACAAAAGTTTCCCGAGTCCCCACAGAGAAACACAGCCCATTTGACATCTTGACTGCAGCCTTGTAAGACCCTCAGCAAAGGACCCAGTCACAACATGCCTGAACTACTGACCCACAGAATTGTGAGCTCATAAGTGGGTGCTAGTTGCTAAGTTTATGGGACTTTATGAAGTGGCAATAGAAATTGAATTCAATAACGCCATATATTTTGTTCCAATATATTCATTCCTATGCTGATTCTTAAAACTCTACTGTTTTAATATCTACCGATTGAAGTCACTTCCCCATTTATTTTTCTCCAATTTCTAATTCAGCCACACATCTCCTCCTTTCATTTTATAACGTAGTTTCTTAAAATGTCAAGGTCTTTTTCTTCTGAATACTAAATGTAGCCAAATAATACAAGGCACGTTTTTCTACAAAGTCTCCTGACGACACTTTCTGAGATAAGGAGTCTTGCAGGACTTTTTAGCAAGAGGTCTATTCCACGGCTGCTTTTGCGGGGGGACAATGACTGCCGCGTCTCCAGGAGAACCACACTGCTCTTAACCTGCTCGTTGAGATCTGGGTGGTGCCGCTCCACAGAACTTTCTGTAGCTATGGAATGATTTTAAGGCTGTGAGCTCCGATTTCGCGGCTAGCCTGATACTGATTTGAAATGTGTACTAGAAATTAAGTGTTTAAAATAGCATGACAAAGAAACTGAATTTTCATTTTGATTAATTTAAATGTAAATATCCACACTGTGGTTAGTGACTACCGTATTGAACGGTGCAGATTACATGACAAAAATGTTAAGTACCTTGAACTACTGTCCAGCATGCCTCATTCATTGGCAGGAAACAAGTCATCTGATGAGTTTTGAGGATCTCCAGTCCAGGGGCTACTGTTTTTCCTCTCAAGCCCCTTGTCTTTCCTGGTAACAGATCCTTGCTTGCTGTTTTCAGCTGTTCCAAAGCACTGCTGGATGATCCAAGGGGCAGGCTAAGCACATCCCTGGGGTGTTAGTAGAAGGAGGTACAAAATAATGAAATAATTTGATATTTCAACAGTGACAGCCCAGCAAATCATCTGTCAAATTTGGACTTGGTTTCACTTTCTTACATCTATTCCATGGCTTGGTGATATTTTTATTTTTAATTCTATACATACAGAGTCAGCCCTTACTATCTCTTCAATGTCTGGTAGCACCACGTCACACAGACTTTTATTCTTCCAAAGAGGAATTTAAACTACTGTAGCCCGAGGCCCCATCCCCACTGGCCTATGGAGCAAAGGTCAGGGCCTGCATCCCTGACTTGTAGGTGGGAGGGGCCCACTCTGCTACAGACAGAGCAGTCAGATACTCAGGGGGAAGGCATGGTGCTGTGGTCAAAGGCAAAGACTCTGGAGGCAGACAGTTTGGGTTGGAATTCTGGCTCTGTCCTTTGCTAGCTGGGTGACCCTGGGCAAGTTTCTTAACCATTCTATGCCTCAGTTCCTTAACTGTAACATGGAAATAATAATAATGGTACTTGGTGTACTATTATTATTCTACCTGTTCCTATCATTAGAGTACCCACTGGGTGCTTAAGAAAGGTAATTAGAACAGTGCCTGACACATAGGACATGTGAAGTAAGTGTTTGCAAATTAAAACAAGACCATTGGTTTAGAGCATGATACTCTGATTCAGTCACTGAGCCCAAATGTCCAACTCAAACCTGGGTATTTTCACATTTATAACAAGGGATCTCCTGCAGTTGGCATGTGATATTTGGAATATTTCTACTTCAAATAGAAACATTTATCTCTTTCAAAGGTCTTTTACATCAATTTTTGTATTTTATCCTCATGGTAACCTGCTGGCCAGAGCTGGGCAGTACCACTCATGCTGAAGTGTAGGGAAAATGACAGATAACTGTCCAACAGAGGGGATTTGTTTGCTATATTCACCTACTGGAGCTAACTGTCACTTTTCAAGGAGAAAATTCAAGTGATGTCAGAATGACTTCTCCCTCAATGCAAAGGAAACCTGCCTATAAAAGTCAATCAAGTGTAATTGACTTGAGAGAAGACCAACATTTGTACAGTGTTTGGACGCTGGGCAAGATCAGTTTTTTCACTCCGTTGCAACCTGAATGTTTCCTGCTTTTATGCTTCCTTTTTTAGAAATACCCTGGAGCTGAGTTGTACTGAGGCCCTGCGTCCTCCGGGCAAACCCAGAGGGCAAGAGGCACTCAGGGCATTTTGGGGGTGGTTTGTTGAATGGGGCCAAGCTCGGGGTTAAAACAGAGCAAGCCCAGCTGGCTATGCACCTCTCAGTATGTGGTTTTGTCCCACAGATTCGTCGCTCACGCTGCAGCAGATGGCAGGCGTTGGGCTGGGCTCCATGGCCGTTGTGATTGTCCTCGCATTCCTGTCCTTCTTAGCAGTGTGGTATGTGAGACTGTTTTTGAGAAATGAGTGGAGCGGTGGGGGATGGGGTCGGAGTCAGGAAGAACAGCTGGGATCGAGGAGGATCAAAGTGATGCGGTGGAGGGCGTTCGGGGCTCAGGGGACACTCAGCAGGCCGAAGGCATGAGTCACTGCGCCTTAGGGTTGGGGGATGCGCTCCTGTCTCAGGAGAAGAGTGAGGTTGGTGATGGCTGCCCTGGCCACTCACAGAGTCTTCATGGCTGATCTCTCGTGCAGCTTCTCGTGCATGGGCATAGGTTACTCTGAGGGATGCACTGTGGGAAAACCAAAGTGTGTCAATGGCCTCTCTTTTCCTCCTCCATGTCTAGATTGCAAAAGGGTGCTACGTGTGGCAGATGCACTGCTGTCGGGGCAGATGTTATGACAGCTTCTCAGGTGCCTGCACACAGCACCTTCTACCCAGGTGTGTGGCGGGGCCTGCAGACTTTCCTCGTTCCCCGCTTGGCTCCATTCCTGGATTCAAGATGGGGCTGTCTCTGTGGAGCCCCCAAAAGGAGGAAACTCAGGAATTGCTGACGTCTTCCCTGCTACACGACCAGTCCTGTGCCTATGAACTTGAGACCCTTGATATACAATGGAATATTGACCATGGGCTACTGATCACATGGGCTGGGCCTGCATCGTCTTCTGAGTGATGCCTGAGAGACAGCTAGCTCCTCTGGATGTTGAATGCAAGAGGGTCTCTGAGTCTTATTTTGTAGCATCTCTATTAAATAATTCAGAATCTATTCTCTTACAATAAGCAATGAGATAGACTTAAGTTTAGGTTCAAATTTGACTTTATGAAGGAGGGCATTGGCATGGGCAAACTTGTCAAACACTTTAGAAGCAGCCCTTTTTCTAAAATTAATTGACAGTTAGTTAGAAAATATACCAGCCTGACCACTTTAGTAAGTTCCCCGCCATGTCTGTTTGGTACAGTTCCACTAGTCTAAAGTATTCAAGAGCTGTAAATGATCATCCCAGTAAAAATTGTCTGTGAATTTAGACAATTCTTCTCTGGCACATGAATATTTATAATAGCCTTCGTTAATTTTTTTATTAACGAGGGTCTCATAAAAACACCCTGTGCCTCCCACTAGATTCAGTGGCCATGTGGTAACAGCAGGCTGAAACCATCTCGAGCCCATAGTAGAGCCCGAGTGTTTACAGGGACAGGGGAACAATGTGGGTGACAAGATCAGTCCTTTCATCTGCAACCTCGGTAACCATGACCTCGCTCTCTCATGAGCCCTGACCCATTAGGTGTCAGCTGTCCTGGGCTGCCTGTCACCGTGTTGAATTTGCAGATGCAGTGTAGTAGCTTTGACTTTTAAAACCCGAATGAGTATTCTTGAACTTGCCTTCCTACCCCATGGTGTAACTGCCAGGCTCAGTAGGAAATGAAAAAGAAAGGCAGAGGCTTGTGATTTCTCTAAGTACAGTTTCTCCTCCTCCCGCCCTTCCTAGGCCTGGAGAAGAAAAAGCACGGGTGAGGCGACAGGAGCACAGTCGTATTGTACAACTTGCGGGCGCACATATAAGAACGTGGTCCCGGGATCGGGCAGTGTTGCGGTCCTGAGAAACAGGGACAGCCTTTCTACCTCGGTGGGCGGGGCATTGGTGAGGGGCAGATGTGGGGACCCCGGGCTCGGAAGCAGAGGAGGAGACAGTGGGGACAGGCGGAAACTGTCCGTGTAGTTGCTCCACACTGGGGGTTTCAGCCCAAAGCACAGCATTCAGTTGGGGAGAGTCAGAGAGGTGGAAGTAATACCCTGCCCCCTTGGGGGCTCAATGCCAGCCGTCAGGCCCTGGCCCCCGCCAGTATTAGGAATAATTGTCTTTTGTCCTCTGCAGTACACTACCTCAGACTACAACTTAGAATCCGCATTAGAACCATTCTTGCTCTCATCTCAAGTGAATTATAGAGTAGATAGAGCTCGCAACTGACTAATGCAAATAGCTTTCTACCTTTCATTTCTATGTGCAGCAATTCAAACTCATGCTATTTTCACAGCTCAAATTAAATTTGGACTCATTCCTCATTATTGTAATAGTACAGGGTCGGATCTCTTGATGAGTAAGGGTTTTCCTCAAAGCCTCCTCGATCCCAAGAGAGAACCTAAGCCTTCTCCTCTCCTCCTCCTGCTATTCCTCCTCCTTTTTTTTTTTTTTTTTTACCAGTTCATAAACACCATATGCTTCCATAGCCATGCCCTCCCTAATTTGCAGCTCTGGGATTAACTGCCAAATAAGCTACAGTTGTCCACATGGAAACTTAGCATAATTGTCATTGAAAAAAAAAAAAAAGAAAGAAATCCCACTTGCTTAGCATCAAAAATTTCTAGTTAAAAATAACTTGACTATTAAGTAAAATGTACTTTTGGATGCAGTGTAGAAATTCAAAAACAGTTCATGCCAAAGAAGTAAAATAGAAGAAACATGGTCTTTGTCACTTCTTCTGAATGTTTCAAATGATAACACAGAGTCACTCAGCGTTAACCCTTAACAGAAGCAGGGGCTGAGCATTTACGCAAAGGATGTGCTATTTTTCTGCCGTTCTGTCCTAATAGTTTTCTCGTAAATAGGAAGGCAGCTTTAATTTTCCTAAATTCACCTGGTAGCTTTACCACCACACTGCTTCGTTTCTTTCCAAGTGGATTCCTGGCGAAGTGGGGAGGGCGTCGCAGGGGACTAACCGTGGTCTTCCTGGGAGCACATGGGTCTTTCTGTCACTGTCAGAGGACAGGTCAGGCTGTGCCCGGAGGTGGGCAGTGAGTGCCACTAACTAAAGCTGGGTCCTGAGGCGGGGACGGAGGCAGCTGCCTTGGGGACAGTGTGTAGACGTGAGGACTAAGATCCAGTCTCAGCTCCCTTCTCGACGGGGAACCAAAACTGGGGGGTTGCCCAGTTATGGAGCAGACGGTTCCCTGGCTGATGGTGGGTGTGATCGTGTGTGTGCATGGTTTTTACTTCTCTCCACCGTCGTGTTTGTTTGTGCACGTTTTTTCATTTCGTTCTCACAGTAGTTCTGTGGGGCGTAGTGGGAACGACAGAGTGACTGCGTCCCCACTTTAGAATGGAGAAAGGGATTCAGACAGATGCGTGCCTTGAATCGTGGGGCTAGGACTTCTAACTGCAAGTCTAGTTCCCATTCCCGGGGTTCGATAGGCCTTGAGCTGATGTTTACACAGCCCTTTGGTTCTTGGGAGTGTCAGGCCTTTACATATCCTTCCTATCTGTCTGCCTGTCTGTCTGTCTATTTATCTATCTATATGAACTAGTGCCTTTACTATAGTATAGCACATGCCATTTTATACCTGTCTTTTCACTATAAAGTACTTCCCCCCATCACAAACCACCAAATAGTGGATGGAGGTTAATTAGGGGAAATAGGTCACAGTCCCCCTCTGACTCAAGACCTGAACTTGCAGGTGAATACTTAAGACCAGAGCCGAAGTAATGACCTTGAAATTGCATATTAACTTTGAATAAAGTTAATTTTAAAGAAAATAAATAAAAATATAAGAATCCAAAGTGCTCCTTTTTTATTGCTAAACCTCTTTCTAAACCTCCTTCTGTGTTTTTATTCTATAGAGTCCAGTAAAAGCAATGCCTGGTTGAGTGTTGGTGTGATCATTTTTAGGTTTTGTTTGAACATTTCGCCTAAAATGTCATAGGGTGTGCTTAAGTGCGATGTTGTTGTGTTACAGAATTACATGCTTATGATTTTGTAATAAAAGGTTTTATAATAAAAAGGCATTATTTGTGCCAGATCCTGTATTTGTCTAAGAAAAACCCAGCAGAAGTGGGAGAGGAACAAGGGTGTGGCTTTTCCTGTCCCCAAACTTGTGGGCTAGCGACACCATGAAGCATATCCAATAAAAAGGAATGCATGCTCATTGCTTTAGAAAGAAAGAGAATGAACCGCTTGGTGATGTGTGTGTGCGCGGCTGTTCCATACCCACACTCTCTGGCGCACCTTTTCCTTCCCCCCTTCCTTCTTTCCTTTTTTTTCAAAATGGGGACAAACTATGCATATAGTTGTGTAATATGCTTCTCTGATTCCTCAACATACCCTGGACACATTTTTCAGGGTATAATGATTGCATTGAAAGTTTGTACCATAATTCATTTCATCACCACGCTATTGTACATTTACAGTGTTTCCAGACATTGACTATCCTTATACAATTCTGCATAATCACATGCAAGTTATTACTTAGGCTAAACTCCTAGCGGTGAAACTGTCGTAATGAAAACCACTGTTTACATTTTAGATTTACTGTTTATTGTCAGAAATCTCATGGGAAGTTTGTACGAGTTTACACTCTCACCTGCAGAAAGCCCCAGTCCAACCAGATATTTTTGGTATTGTTAATCTTCATCAATCTGGTAGGTGAAAACTGATGTGTCTTATTTGCACTTCTCTGACTATTTTGCATGTCGATCGGTCTTTTCTAATTCTGTCTTGGTGAATTGCCTTTTTTTCTCAGTACTTGGCATTTTTGCCTTTCAGTGATTTGAAAAAAGCCCTTGGTAGCAAAGTAATTTTCACTCTTAGCGGTGTCATTTCCCTCCCCTGGTTTGTATCAGACATTGCCACATAAACACTTCATATTTGCATAGTCCAATGTGTCAGTCTTCTCCTCACGGTTTTTGTCCTTGCTGCCATGCTCAGAACTTCCGATCTCAAAGTAAGAAACATAATGCAGAAGTTTTTTAAAAAGTGTAAATCTTTGGTCCATATGAAGTTTATTTTAGTACAAGGAATGAGGTTGTGGGAATCTTTGTATTATTATTGCTAAGTGGCTCAGCCCGTTGTCCTATGAATATTCATTGACTGTTAGTTTTCCCCTCAGTGATTTAAATCATATACTAACTTAGATACTAAAGTCTATTTCTGAGCTTTCCTTTTTGTTCTACTGATCTATTTCTGTGTCAGTGACACCTGCTGTAATTGTGAAATAAGACTTTTTTAATACCAAGTAAAAGTAAGTTATTTCTTTTTTCTGTTAACTCTCCAAGTGTTCTCAGCTTTCATCATATATTTATTAATGGTACATATTTATTACACATAAACTAAAGAATTATTTGGTGAAGTTTCCCTCAAAAATTTTAATATATTTCTTGAGGGTGTGTTGAATAAAGAGTGTTCCTATCCCAAAATATGATATGTGTTTCCATTTCAGTTTTCATGTGTATGTGTCCAGAGTATTCTAGTCTTCAACTCGCAAGGTAATTTGTGCTTACTTTTCATTGTGTATGTCTTATATTTTGTATTTGTTACCCTATGTTATATTTTGTTATCCTCAGTCACTCCTTCAGCCTCTGCTCCTGAAAACTCATCCCACAGCCTCTATTACTGTCCTTATTGGTGTTTTCTCGCCAGGAGGGCGCCTCTCCTGGTGCTGTTTTCTAGGGTATCTGCCCTGGGAACTCCCAGACACTTGCCATGCCGAGTGGCCAACTGCCCCACGGATAGCTGCAGTCACAGACCAGTTTTCTTACTCATCAGACCCTTTGTCCTTCCCTTGGGGGAAGTGTGGCTGGCTACAACACGGTTCCCACTTTTTGTTGGCCTGACAGCCTCAGGTTCTTGACACGTGGGTTTCTTAATCCTGGAATCAGATACCAGGCCACCGTGTCTGCGGCAGCTTTAGGGGACACAAGTCAAGTTCTCTAAGTGGAGGTCCCCTTGGGCTCCTTTCTCCAGGATTGCACTGAGGAAGACCCTGTACCCCGACCATGGTGGTGGGGGAGGGAAAAGGGGCTCAGCACACCAATAGCTTTCTCTAAAGAACTTCTTCTTTCGGCCTTTTCCATTTAAACCACATCCTGGGTATTGGGTTAAGGGTCTGTCATTTTAGAATATGGGAGTATTTGCAACCGATTATTTTCTTCTCAGTTTTTTAGAACATTGGTCAAAACAAAGCAAAAGGGGTCCAATTTGGGGTCAAAGGGTATGAAAAATAGAGTTCACAGAAAGAAATGCAAATGGCTCTTAAAGCATGAGAAAAGATGATGCTCAACCTCGCTTTTAAGAAAAATGCAAATTAGGGAGAGATCATTTTTCAGTGGTCATTTTGGAGGAAATCTAGAAGTTGAACAACACAGCTTTTTTTTGAGGCTGTGGGGACACAGGCACTCAGTCATTGTTAGTGAGGGCACAGAATGACCCAGCTTCTGTGGAAGGGAATCTGGCCTTATTTATACTGCCTTTGTCTAGGTGCCTTTGTCCTTTGAACCAACAATCTCCCTTCTGGGACCTAGTCTGAGGGTTCCCCTGCACATGTCCCAAATGACTCCTGTTCAGCATTATTCATTGGGACATACTCTATAATAGCAAAAGTCCCAACACCACTCAGATGCCTCTCAGGAGGAAACGAGTTAAACTAGGATACTCCCATGCACACAGTGGAATACTACACAGCTGTAAAAAAGGAACGAGGGAGAGCTCTATGCATTGATGCAGAGAATTGTCTAAGATGTACTGTTTTAATGAGGAAAGCAAGGTGGAGGGGAGTGCACATGGTGTGCTATCTTTTGTGTAAGAAAGAGGGCAAATGAAAATATTTATGCAGCTTTACATAAACATAAATAAGAACAATGAATCAGTGAAAATGGCTACAAATTGATCAGAGGAGAAAGGGATGGAGGTAAACAGGGTGAGAGTCTTTTGAATGTTTCTTGTTTTGAATATTAAATATAAGTATATTATTATTTAAAACCATAGTTTCATAAGAAAAAGAAAGTGTTCTCTTTTAATACCCCATTACACGTGCATGGAACCAAAATCCGATAGGTACTGTTTGGCTTCCTTCTCAATCTAAACCCAAGACACGTAAGATTTGGACAAGATTGGTTTAATTCTCCATTCCAAAACTGATGAAGCAGCCAGTGCTGGCTTGTAAGATTTTCTGAAAATGTCAAGGGGACATTGGTGGCTGTGTGACATTCCCACAATCAACTTCTAGTTCAGTTGATGGGTCATCTCGCCCTCCTGAAGAGGTCCCTATTCCGCCTCTGAAAGTCATGACAAGTGACTTTGAAGTATGGAAAGTCATGACCTACTTGTGGGACTCAATTTTTTTTTCATGATTTCCACTCATGGTCTTATTAAGAACATCGGTCATTTAGATCATGTGAATAAAGAGTGTGGGGGTGACTTTCCTTGCAAGTCCCCCCAGCCTCCGTGGATGAGAGTAATCATGACTGAGACATGATGAGATCTGCTTGGGGAGAAGAAGTGGCCATTTTCCCAGAGGAAAAAGGCTGTGAGCAGTGGCCAGTTTCTCAGGGGAAAAAGGCGTTGAGCTCCCTCCTCCAGGGACTTTTATTGGGTCATAATACACAGGAATACAGGGCAGCAAAAATCAAACAGTAGATTGTCTGAATCAGAGTCTGTCAGGCAGAGAGTTTTAGAGTTTCCTGCTCGAACCCTTAACATATGAAAGAAAGCACTCTTAGCAGATTTCACAGGTTTATCAGGAAGTCTTTGTGATGCCAGATTTTCCCCCAGGACACACTCTAGCAAGGCAAGGAGCTGCACCCCTCCCCAACAGGTATTCAGGCTTAAGAGGATTAGAGCCAGGAATCTCTTCTCCCAGAGGACATGGGGACTCAGGGCTATGTCAAAACTAGGGGGGGGGGGTGAGAGTCCATTGCTCTTTGTTGCAGCCCCCCCCCCCCCAGTCCTTCCATGAAGGCCTCCCAAGTGATCGAGTCTGGCTTAGGTTGCCCCCCGCTATGAGGGGTCTTACTGGTCACTGACTTCTGATCAAGCTTTGAGGGCAGGGAGAGGAAACTGAGGTAGTGTTTGCTACCAGAGACAAGTTTTGTCTCCTGCGGCTCACATTCCAAAGGTCATTCCTCGCCCTTAGCCCCAAGGGGTAGAGATACAATTCCTAGAACCAGGCAGAGCAGTCTACAACAGGAGAGTGTACTGGTTTCCTATTGATACTGCAACAAATTGCCACCAACTTGGTGGCTTATATCCACACACATTTATTATTATTTTTTTACATTTATTGTTGTAGAGTTCTGGAAGTCAGAAGTCTACCATGAGTCTCACTGGACTCAAGTCAAACTATCGGCAGAGGTGCATTTCTTTTGAAAGCTCTAGGGAGAATCCATTTCTTCGCCTTTTCCAGCTTCTAGAGGCTGCCTGCATTCCTTCGTGGTGGCCTTTCCTCTGTCTTCAAAACCAACAGCGTGGCATATTCAAATCTTTCTCTGACTCTGACCCTCTTGACTGCTTCTTTCACTTACAAGCCTTGTGATTACATTGGGCTTACCTCGAAATCCAGGATAATCACTCAATCTCAAAATTTTTAACTTTATCACACCTACTAAGTTCCTTTTGCCATGGAAAGTACTTTATTTTCAAGTGCTTGGATTAGTATGTGGCCATCTTTGACAGCCATTATTCTGCTGGCTACAGAGGGTATAATATTTAAATCATGCAAACAGTTAATTGTGCATATCAGTTATTCCTGTTCTTCAAAGTTCCCTTCTATCCCTTCCTATCTTCATTCTTTATCAAATACACTAAATTCCTGAAATGTGGAACAATTTAGCTATGTCTTCATTTTTTATTAATTTTTTCATCTATGCTCTAAGCATCCACATTAACCCAAAAGTTTATCAAAGTAGTTTTAAAGTTTATTATTTAAAAAATCAAACTGTATGGAAGTCTGACAACTGAGAAGTTAAAGTAGAAACATTTGAGCAGCTCAGTGGGAGGGGCGGAGACAGGCAGCTGGAGAGGACAGGGTATGCCGCAAGGTGGCGTCCGGCGGACTGGGTGGTCCTCTATTCACGTTCGAATAAGTCATAAGGAACAACCAGGGAGTGAGACAATACAACCCAGGGTTCCAGCACAGGGAAAAGAAAACCTCAAAAATCTCTGGATGTAAAAACCTGTGGGGGTTGCAGTGGCAGGAGAAACTCCCAGTGTCTCAGGAGAGTCCATTGGAGGGACCCACAGGGTCCTAGAACGTACACAAATTTACTCACCTGGGAATCAGCACCTGAAGGGCCCAACTTGCTTGTGGGTAGCAGGGGAAGTGACTGAACGTGGCACAAGAGCCCAGCAAGTGGCAGTGTTCCTCTCTGACCCCTCCCCGACAGACGGCGCCATAACGGCAGTGATGTGAGTTACCCATCTTGGCGAATACTTAAGGTTCTGCTCCTTACAATGTAACAGGTGCAAGGAGGTAAAGAGATATGGCCCAAATGAAAGAACAGCTCAAAACTCCAGGAAAAGAACTAAATGACAAGGAGATAGCCAACCTGTAAGAAGCAGAGTTAAAACACTGGTAAACAAGATGCTCACAGGAATGGTTGAGGGCAGCCACAAAATAAAGGAAGAAATGAAGGCTATACAAAGTGAAATAAATGAAACTATACAGGGAACCAACAGTGAAGGGAAGGAAACCAGGACTCAAGTCAACAATTTGGAACAAAAGGAAGAAATAAACATTCAACCAGAAGAGAATGAAGAACAAGAATTCAAAAAAAAAAAAAAAAAAGAGAGGCTTAGGAACCTCAGGGACAGCTTGAAACATTCCAACATCCGAAACAGTGGTGTCAGAAGAAGAAAAAGAGCAAGAAATTGAAAACTTATTTGAAAAAATACTGAAGGAGAACTTCCCCAGTCTGATGAAGGAACTAGACATGGAAGTCCAGGAAGCACAAAGAGTCCCAAAGAAGTTAGAACCAAGGAGGTCACACCAAAACACACCATAATTAAATACCCAAGATTAAAGATAAGGAGAGAATCTTAAAAGCAGCAAGAGAAAAGGAGACAGTTACCTACAAAGGAGTTCCCATAAGGCTAGCAGCTGATTTCTCGAAAGAAAGCTTGCAGGTAAGAAGGAGCTGGAAAGTCATGAAGAATGACTTTGAAGTATTCAAAGTCACGAAAAACAAGTACCTACATCCAAGATGACTCTATCCAGCAAAGATACCATGTAGAATGGAAGGGCAGATAAAGCATTTCCCAGATAAGGTAAAGTCAAAGAAGTTCACCATCACCAAGCCCTTATTATATGAAATGTTAAAGGGACTTATTTAAGAAAAAGAAGATCAGAACTATGAACAGTAAAATGACAACAAACACAATCATCAACAACTGAATCTAAAAAAAAACAAAATAAAAACAAACTAAGCAGACAACTAGCACAGGAACAGAATCAAAGAAATGGAGATTACATGGAAGTCTTATCAGTGGGGAAGGGGAGGAGGGAATGGGGTGGGGGAAAGGTACAGGGAATAAGAAGCATAAATGGTAGGCACCAAATAGACAGGGGGAGGTTAAGAATAGTATAGGAAATGAAGAAGCCAAAGAACTTCGATGTACAACCCATGGACATGAACTAAGGTGGGGGAATGCAGGTGGGAGGGGGTGTGCAGAGTGGAGGGGAATAAAGGGGGGGGATTGTAATAGCATAGTCAGTGAAATATATTTAAAAAATAAATAGAAGATAAAAACTATGAACAGTAAAACAGGACAACAAACTCACAACTATCAACAACTGAACCAAAAAACCAAAAAACAAAAACCTAAGCAAACAACTAGAACAGGAAGAGAATCACAGAAATGGAGATCACGTGGAGGGTTATCAGCGGGGAAGGGTGAGAGGAGAATGGGGCAAAGGTACAGAGAGTAAGAAGCGTAAATGGTAGGTACAAAACAGATGAGGGGAAGGTTAAGAATAGTACAGGAAATGAAAAAGCCAAAGAACTATGTACAACCCATGGACAAGAACTAAGGAAGGCAATGCTCAAGGGACAGGTGGTGCTGGGTGGAGAGGGATAAAGGGGATAAAAAATAGGACAAACGTAATAGCATAATCAATAAAATACACTTCAGGAACTTTCTTATTTATTTATTTATTTATTTATTTATTTATTTATTCACTTATGGACATAAAGGGAGAGGGGGAGACAGAGAGAAAGAGGAAGGGATACCAAACTGCAAATCTGTAGCTCCATTTGTGTTCGCATTCACTGGTTGATCTTTGGCAGGGTCCCTTACCAGAGACCAAGCGTGCAGCTCTGCATATCGGGAAGGTACCCTAACCAACTAATCTGTCCAGCCAGACTGTCAAAGTATTTTTTCAAACAAAAATGTTTTTCTCCTTAAGAAGTTTGTTGTCAGTTGTTAATTCATTTTAAATTAAATTAACCAGTTTTGGGGGGTTAATTTAATGTAACCAATTAAACGAAAGTAAATAAATAATTCTCCGTGGTTACCTAGGAGCTTGCTAACTGTGTGCAATTAAACAGAAGACCCAAAACAGCAAACACAGAACAAGTGCGTGGGGGTGGGGGCGGCAGGGTAGGGAACAGACATAAAAACAGATGAGCACATTTCAGCAGAAACCTTTTAAGTCTGTAGCAGAAGGCTACTCGCCACTACTCGCCACAGCCCAGGTCCTTTACCCATCACGCCTATTCTTGGATGCCAAAGCAGGGCCAGCGGTGTGACTTTTGAACCCCGGGTCCTCAAAGTGAGTGTCGGAAAGTCCACAAACAGTACTCTTCAACTGCGTGAATCTGGTCGAAAACAGATGATCCAACAAATCTACACTTACTATCTGACCGTTAAAGTCATGTTATGAAAAAACTAACTCAAGTTTATTTCTGTGATTTTTATAACCAGAGGAAACAACATACCCTTTGCAAAAGGTGAGGGATCGAGAAGACAGTCCTTGAGTAAAAGTCATTACAACAGCACCAGAGTGGTCAGGCTGCTGGGGCAGAGCCACCGACCCTGCGGCACAGGTCCGAAGACAGCCTGTGTGGGGCGCTGCAGGCCAGGCCACGCAGCACGCACAGCTGCTCTAGATTGAGTCAGAAAAGTCTTCCAGCTCATCCTGAAACAAGTCCCACTTGTCTTCAGAGCCTGTCAAGTCATTGTCCCCATCTGCAGCCAAAAGCATAAGCAACATCTCTCCCACCCGGCTCAGAGGCGACAACCGCTTCATCGTAGTCAAAGGAGCTGCTGTTCTCTCTTTCCTCAGTGAGCTCCCCAAAGTGGTTCCTTCGTTAGGGCCAGTATCTGCCCGATGTTCCCACATTCTACTGTGGCTCCTCTCTACGGCCATCAGGGTACGCATGCTTATAGAAACAGCTCCCTGCAAACCGGCAGCTCCCACGTCCCTCGTTAAAATACCTGCATACCTTGTTGTTCATCGCCTCCTTGTATTGCTGAATGAGTTTCTGCTTCTCTTCTCTCTCTTCCACCCAGTGCTCACTTGGAACAACGAAGTCAGATGTGATCCGGCATTCGGGGCAGGACTTTATGATCTTGTTCGCAAATTCCCCAGCACTTCTCCACTTGCGGATGCACTTGAGACAGTAGGTGTGGTTGCAGTTGGAGAGGATCCCAAAGCGGCACTCGCTGGGGTTGGCTTTGTCATAGACCACCTCCTTGCAGATCCCACACACCTTGTCCTTACTGCGCTGCACAGCAAACGAGAGCTCCATGTTCTTCTCGTGGGTCTCAATGCACGATTTTATGTGCTGTGACCTCTGGGCAGCGTCCGCGGGATGGAGGGCCGGCAGTCCACACAGATCACAGGTGTCTCCGTGGAGATCCATGCAGTTCTCTCCATAGCGGCACTTTCCAACTGCTGCATAGGGGCACAGCGGCCGCTCCTGGGAGTCTTTACTGGTCACGAAGGTCTGCACGGTTGCTTCAGTGCAAGAAGGAGCAACGCGGCCACAGTAGGGCTGCCCTGGAACAAACTCAATGGCATTCACCCAGTCTTCTGAACCTGCTCCTAAAGTTGCCAAATTGGAACTTCTTGACTCAGCCGCGCCCAGATTCGCTTCACCGATCAGTCCAACTACTGATGAGACAGCGGCCAGGGACGAGTTTGCATTTCGCTCAGTAGCGGCTGCGTCTTCCTGTTTCAGCGGCTCGCTGTGTTCGTACCTGCAGTGGTCTCGGTAAATACAGTACCCTTGCTGGAAATACTTGCACACCACGCGGCAAGGACGGTCGGAGAGGTCATGCGAATAGCGGCAGTTATCGCCTTCCCCACAAACACCATGCATGAAAAACCTGCAGGTGACTTGCTTGGTCCAGTCGTCATCGCCTCCTTGGACCCCCGCCTCCGCAGGGACAGGTGCTGGGGAGCCTGCTGCCACCTCTGCGGCTGCGGCTTGAGCCCCCGATGGTTGGCTTGTCAATTCGGGAGCTGCAGCCTCCGCCATGACTGCTTTTCCAAAACAGCAGTGGCACTGGAGCTTCCGGATCATGAGGTTTGCTGCGGGCAGGAGAAGGCGGGAGAGGAGGGACGGGACAGGAAAGACAGGGAAGAGCCAGCTCACAGCCCTTGACAGCGCCTAAGATAGGTTTTTTTACGTGCCAAGAAAAAGCTACCGGTTTTTGTTCCTGTTAATTCTCAGCGTGTTTTCATCTTTTATTATATATTTACTCGTGCTTATTTACTTATTATACATAAACTAAAGAATTATTCGGTTAAGTTCCCCTCAAAATCTTAATATTTTTCTTGGGGATATTTTCCAAGAACACGCCTCTGGTACCTACTGCCTCGAGTGTCTTAGCCTGCACTTTCATAAACTCCGACGAAGTTTCCAAACAAACTTACTTATTTTGTTTTCACAGTGGTTTTATTTATTTATTTTTAGGGAGAGGAAAAGAAAGGGAGAGAAACCCATCTGTTGCCTCTCGCATGCCCCCACCTGAGGACGAGGCCCGTGACCCTGGCATGTGCCTTGACCTCCATCTGACCCAGCGGCCTTTGGCTTTGCAGGGCGATGCTGATGCCCTCGCCAACGCCGCCCGAGCAACTGAGCCCTGAGGCTCGGGGCTTGACTTACCCTTTTTGCTACATGATTTCTGCTTTGCATAATTGTTTGCTTGGTCCAACATCATGCTGTATTCTGATAAACTGAGAGGAAAACAAATGGTTTGATCTGAGCAACAGAAAAAAGAACCTATTTTGAGCAGACACTTTCTAAGTGAAAGGGGAGCCTGAGGATCGAGGTCGAAGGGGAGGGCGCCCGGCTAGATCGAGTTTTCAAGCATTTCAACTGAGAAGCCGCATTATTCTCTGACCTCAGTGAATTCCCCGTCTAATTCTGAGGGTGGTGATAGGTCGCTAGAGTCACTTACATCCATTTTAATAAAATTTAGTGAATGCTTAGAGTGAGAAGGAAGCTTTTTGAAATTTTTTTAACCATCTCTAACACAAAGGAATGGAATTTGATGCACAGCAAGAGAAATCATAGCTTAAGTGAGACTGAGTGATGTTGTCTCTCAGAAATGGTCCAAGTTCAATGCCTGTGTCACATACTCTAAGTCCAAAGTGTGCATTTAAAAAGAATTACTCTAGGAAAAGTCTTACTCCCCACAGGTTGGTTGGTTGGTTGGTATTTTTTTTTTAAGGTACTGGTTCCCTGAATGTCATTGCCCCATTGACAATGGGAGTTGCTCTGGATCCATGCTTGAGCCCATCCTTAGAGCCTGTCTGTCACTTGAAGAAGTGCATCACGGGGGGTCCTCCCTGCTAAGTGTGACGCCTTGGTGGCAATTTCTAACTAGTGGGGACGATGGATTATCAGGGACGTGTGGGAATAACTACCTAACCATTTGGGTACTTGTTTACTACAACCAATGTGGCTAACAGTTACCAGGTTTACTGCATGAAAGTCTCACACACCAAAAAGAAAAACCGTATGATCCTCCTGCAAGGTGGGGGGAGTGATGATCAGACAATTCACAACAACTCAGCTGGTAGTTTTCTCTGGCAGTCGTACCTGCATTGGAATTTTCTAGCACCAGCAAAATGGAGCAGCAAATGTTCTCCGTGGGAACCTCAGAGGGGGGAAGCCTGGTGGGCATCAGACAGCCCTCCAAAACTTTCACTATCGGGAGGCCAGGAATGATTCTCATCCTGGCTCACGCAGCGGGCATCTTCAACCTTTTTCCTCCCAGATGGCGCTTTTTATTTTCTTGCAAATGCTACTCTTGTCTCATTGGTGGCTTCCTACTGATCATTTCTCCCTGAGTCAGTTTTTGTTTTTATTTTTTTAAAAAGACTTTATTTATTTGTTTGTAGAGAGAGGAGGAAGGAGGGAGAAAGAGAGGGAGAGAAACATCAATGTGTGGTTGCCTTTCACGTGCTCCCAATAGGGGACCTGGCCCGCAACCCAGGCATGGGCCCTGACTGGAATTGAACCAGCAACTTTTTGGTTTGCAGGCTTGCACTCAATCCACTGAGCCACACCCACCAGCTGTTTTTAGTGTTTAAAGCCAGAGGAGGACTTCATGTGTGCCTTCTACTCTGAGTGTCCCCAGGAAGCTTCCCAACACATTTTCAGAGGAGTGAGGTCTGGAGCGTAAAATTCGGTCCCATTTGTTGTTAATGTTACTTTTAACATCAGTGTTAAATTTTAACGTTTTATTAATATTAACAACGTTAAATTTTAACATTTAAAAATAACATTAATGTTTAACATTAAGCTTAATGCCAAATTGACATTATGAGCAAATTGAACTCTTGCCTGACGGAAATGAACTGACGTCATCTGCTTTCATGTGGACCCTGGACTGCCGGGACTGGGAAATCAGTTCAGCCTTCATTTCATTACACCCGACAAATAGCTCACCGAGCACCTCAGCCGTAGAGTTCCTGCACTACACGGGGATGCAGAGTGACAAGCAGAGCGACAGCTGGGGCGCAGGAGGCCAGCACAGGCTCCGCAGGGGACCCTGAAGGATTAGTGTGGTTTTGTCAGGTGGAGAAGACTAGGAGGGACACTCCAGTGTGGGGCTGGGAGCCATAAACCTGTGAACCAAGGCGTAAAATTGGAAAAAGAGAGACACTGAAGATTGCGGTAGAGGGACTAGAGATGGTACCAAAGTGAAAAATAAGGAGTCAATGGTGCACTGGATTGGGTGGGGACTGGAGGGGCACGGGGTGGGGGGGGTAGGTAGGAAAGATTGGCTTATTAAGCTTTTCAAAATAACATTTAGAAAGAAGAGCTGCTACACGAATTGTGACTCCAATGAGATCTTCCCCTCCCCCTGCAAAAAGCATACTAAATATTCATCTTAATTATATTGCTCCTTCCAAGTAGTTACTTTGAAGGCCTGAACATTTATTTCAGTGATGTTATTAGTGTTTTTAAAAAAAATCCTTAAAGATCCCCTTTGGAGACTGCCTTTGAAATGGGTTTATGAACTACAATAGAACATCGGTTAGTCTTATTACTTCACAGTTCCCTTTGTCTTCGTCAGTGTATGGCGGAAGCATTATATGTGTGTATAAAAAAATATATCATTAAAACTTAGCCACTGTTCTTTTATAAACTGGAGCATGTGACAAAGGGCTTTTACCGGTTTCTAAAAATCTAATGCCATAGGAACAGAATTTCACTTGGGGACTCAGAATATCAAAGGAAAGTGCCACGGGCTCTGATAGCAATCGGAAGGATTTCAACAATATTTTGAGCAACCCCACCCAGCAATGGAGTCAGTGTTGGCCTCCACGGGTGACTGTTGACGCAGGGACCATGCTCCATGGTTATGTGCGTTCTGGGGAATTTCTGTCATTGGGGTTGGACAATTGTTACAGGACAGATTACGGCCCACGGTGGCCTCCAATGCAGTTACTCTCCCTCAGTCACCCCTGAAGACCTACTATCAACAAAGACTGGGACAGACAACCTAGCTGCAGATTCTGAGGGCGACTGGACTTCAGGTTCATGGCGTGGTGTGGCTTTATTTCACAGGAAACGGAGCCCTTTTGCAAAGGGAGGGAAGGCCTTTCCCATGATCTATCCACGAAATAGGCACCGTGATTCTCTGTGCGAGAGAGGTTTCGCCTTAGCACTGCCCCAGCGTGACAGGAAACGGTGACAGAGAAGACCCGGTGTGCTTTGCGGGGCAGTATTTCTTCACACGTCACCCTTCAGCGATCAGCGATGAGTCAGTGGGCTCTCAGTGGGAGTGTTTCTGGTTCTTCCAGCTGCTTGTCCGTGACCCTGGAACTCATACTGGCGGGGGAGCCTTAGGAATTTCCTCCCCTTTGACCTGCAACTCCGTGCTGTGCTCCCGAGCTGAAGGTTAATAATAAGTCGTGAGACTGTCTCCGTTTATTCCAAATGGCATTGCATCTGACTGCATTCTTCAGAGTGTTCAGTATAATGCAGCTTTTAGAGCTAGAACATACTTACAATACTTTTCCTTATTTTCAGTTCTTTTTCATTCCTCTTTTTTTGGTTGGTAAAAGATGTGGGGGTTGACATTCATTCCCACCATCATTTTCCTTACAAGTCCTTCCAGATTGTCTCACTTCAGAAAAGTCCATGAGCAAATCACTTAAAAGATCGTTTGGGAAAATAAATGACTGTGGAAAAAAGAAAAGGATTTCCCTTACCAGATATTCAATAGTACCGTAAAGCTGCACTACATAAATTAATTGCTGCGGGCACTGAAAGAGACATATTGATTAAATGGAAGTCCAGAAACGTGTCTGGGGTAAACACTTGTGTCCGCGTTTCTCCATAGGCCTCAACTGCGGCTGATAGATAAACTCGGCTTCCTGCTCTCTGGGTGAGAGAGCACAAACCCACTGACCCCAGGGAATAAAAATCACACACTCGTACATATTTCTGTTTGCTCCTCAAAAGTCAGGGTGACACCCTACTGTTCTATTTTTCAAATTGCAGTGAGTTTCATTTTGTTTCCTGGTAAATATATTTTCCGTGCTGCAAGCTTTGGGGTGAGTGTGAATATGTGTTTGTGCTAAGTGCTTGTATGTCAAAACAATCTATAGGGCAGTTAATTTGACAATGTTTCTTGGTAGTTGGTTTAAACAGCATTCAAGGAGTTTGCCTCCTAGGAAACTATTAAGTGAATTAAATGACTTCGTTTTAGTAGTTAAATTCTCATATTGAACTCTATATGAGAAGTAACTTCTCTTTCTTTTCCTGTGGTAGTTAAACATTTTTCCCCTGCTCAGTGACCAAAGCAGCCCATTATGCAGACACTCTTGTGCATTTCTGATTCTTGCCCGTGTTAGAAACACCTTAGAAAATAGCCCAAATCCAGGTATCAATAGAATTTTCTTCGAAGGATATCCTAAGTAGATCAGCTCACAGGGAACACTCTACATCACACGGAGTCTTGGTCAGCTGTCTCCGCTTGGTGCGGCCGAGGCTCACGTGTCCATCTCAGAAATCAG